AGTGACCCCAGTCCTCATTACAGGCTTCTGTATTAGCCAGATTTTCCATTGTTAGGCCAAAACATGTGATACCCACAGCTTAAATGAGAATTTTATTTTGGCTTACAGGTTTTCAGGGATTCACTCCAACAGTTGGTTGGCTCTTAGTAGGAAAGACGAACTGAAGGCATCAGAGCAGTCGGCCAGGTGCAAGCTGCACGGGCCCCAGGGTCTAAAGAGGAGACAGCACTGAAGGATCTTGTTTTGAGAAGAAAGCTCCAGAGAGCCCAGTGTATTCAGGGCTGCCTAGAGAAGGTTCCTAGAATTCAAACATCCAGGCAAACAGACGGCACTGTAGCTCTAGGCCAGGCTTCTCCCAGACTGCAGCAGATCCTGGGATCATCCTCACAGCCCTGGTTTTTCCAACATTCCAAGAGCTGTGATGCTCTGGAGGCTTCCACACGGATTTCAGGAGGAGGCCTGACAGGCCAGGCGGTAGGCCCTGATGTAGCCGTGCATGAGAGTGAGCTGAGAGCGCAGTGGAGATCACAGAAGTGAGGTACCGAACACATGGCACTTCTACTGATGAAAACTATAGGGAAAGAGTGGAACCCCAATAGATAGGTCATGTGGGCTGTGACAGCTTAGCAAGGCCATAGGAGTCAAGCTCCCAATCCTTTGGAGTTTATATCATACTAATAGAGACCACTGATAAAAGCACTGTGATGAAGATTAATATGGAAGTAGTATTAAATCTAAGTTGGAAGACACCTGAACTATTCACACGGCTAAATGACGGAAGGCTTAGTGGATGGCATTCAGCACGCTGTCATGGAAAATGCGTATGCTGGTCTTCAGCTGTCGCCATATGCAGGTAGCAGCTAGTGAGAGGGTCGAGGTGAGCATAAGGATAAGATGGAAATCTGTTAGAAGAAAATATAATTTCCCATTACTTTCTAATGCAATAATGATTTCTTAAACAGGATACAAAAAGTCTTGAATATAACAAGTGAATCACATTAAAATGGCAGAAATCTTGAGTGTATAGATTTCAAAAGCTAACCGGTGAGCCCAAGAAGGTATTTACAGCATATGCCATGGACAGAGGGCCTGTTTTGATTTTTATAAAAGGAGACCTCCTTCAAACCAATAAAAAAAAAGTACAATCTTAGGAAGGGCAAAGGGCTCTAGCAGGCTTTTCACAAGAGAAGATGCACAACTGGCTGAGTAAACGTCCCATCTCTATGAAACAGAGACAATGAATCTGTGCTGCTGGAAGTCAGAACAATGCTGCCCTCAGTATAGGGCACCGGGAAGCACTCAGCTGAGGCCACTGCAGTGCTGGAAGGTCCTATTGCTCAATCTGGGTGCTGGTTACAAGGACGCTCGACTCTGAACTCTGATCAAGCTGCACACATATTTACATTAATAATGTACTTCATAGTTAAATAAAAGCTTTAAAATGATGCAGTGAAAAGAATGATGCAGTTTTTTGATATTAAAAAGTAATCTGTGAGCTGAAAGCAAATTTTCAGCTGTTTTTATTTCTTGTTTTGGATCTTTTTAAGAATGAATTCATCTCTTAAAAGCAAAGTTCAGACTGGGTTTCAACCTTGGTCCCCTACTAAAGCACTATGGATGAGAAATGTGGTAACCTCTGTTTTTTTGTATCTAAGATACAAATAAAGGACTTTGACCATTGTTATATGATACAAAAGATGTTAATGATGGGCATTTTTGATAATTAGGCAAACTGAAAATATAATGAATAGAAAGTGATGAGAATAGTTTATGATACTTGCATTTTATTATTTAGGGCAGGTTACATGATAAAAGAAATTTATAGAAATCTGATGACTGTGCATATTTTATTAAATACATTAGCAACTAAAAGAAATCATGACTTTCTTAGTAAATAGAAGAAAACTTAGCATTTGTAGGAAAATCACACAATGTCTGTTACAACTTTAAATGCTAAAGGGCTCCCTAGCACAGAGGCCTATTGTGTCACTATGACTTGTGAGGCAACACTGGCAATTGCTGACATCACCCCAGAGTCAAGGATGTCCTCCTAGTTTGTCATAATGGTGGAAGAATCTTAACAATGCTAACCTTCCAGACTTTGCAGGCTGGCAAAATGGAAGAAAAAAAGACAAGTGTGTGGGTTGATGACATTTACAAAACTATTTGGAGTGATTGACATTGGAGATCCTATTAGAGAAGAAAGGAAAAGGAGAGAAGTGAGTGGCTGTTCAGGAAGAAGAGTGGCAGTGCCGACACTGGATGATGAATAGACACCAGGCAGGAAAGAGACTCATGTCAGCCTGAGTGTGTGTCCTGAGGCCTCCACTTCAGAATCAGACACTACCTCTTAGGCACTGGTGCGTAATAGCCCAGAGCCAGGGGTGGTTTGCCCCTTGCGTTCTCTGCCAGAGATTGCAAGGTGATGCAGAGACCTCTCCTTTTAAGGCTTCTGTCTGCAAAGAGAACAATTTGAAGACATTTTTCTGGGTTTCTTACAGCAGAGCTGTACCTTTTTGGAAAGCCCGCTAATCATCTGCATGGAAATTTCAACACCAATAACCTTATTACACCAAAGCTTCTCCATACTAGAACCTTGGGAAGCATGTGCAGTCCTACAGGACTGACTTCTTCCTGAGATCAATCATGGACCAGGGGCTCTGATGCTGCTTTTTTATTTTGAAAACTGACCTGGCTCCCAAACTCTCATTTAATAAAAAAACAAAAATTGGCATATATTTCATGGATATGCTACATTCCTAGTATTTGTGAGGGCTTGAATTTGATCTCCAGAATTTAATTAATTCACATTTTATAGTCTGTGTATGGATTCCTTTCATACATCTCAAATGAAATGCAATTCTCTGTGCAGAGCAATTTTATTTCCCTCTGTTCCTTATTATCCCACAGATACAACACCCCAGACTTATAGATACTAAATTTATACAAGCTGTTACAAGTAAAGTCCAGGCATTTGCTCTGCAATTTTTTTTTAACATTTATTTATTTATTTTGTGTGTGTGTGTGTGTGTGTGTGTGTGTGGCCAGCTCAGCCCACCAGGGGGCGGGGCTGGCTGGCATGTGGTGCTGGGGGATTGAACCATGGTCCTTGTGCTCTGCCAAGCTTGTTCCAAGTAGGTGCTTTAGACCACTGAGCCATCTCGCCAGCCCCTGCTCTGCAATTTTGAGATTTTGGCCTTATTTTCCCAAACTCTACTGTTATCATCATCTTCTCAAACAGCCAACACACTTCACACAGAGAAGGGTTTAACACAGCTGAGGAGTTTGCACTGTAAGCTGAACACCATGTGACTGAAATGCTGGCCTGGGCCATTTAGAGAAAGCTTGAGGTCACCACTGTAAAGACCATTCATTAGCATCCACTTGGCCATCAACTCCCACCCCTGCGCTCCCAAAACCTCTGGGAGAACTCACGATCAGGTGCTGCTCACCTACCATCTTCCTCCAGGCTGAACCCGCCTGTGCTCTCCTCCTCACACACAGTCTATACTGAGTGTATTTATCACTTGTGTATTATCACATCTAATCCATCTGGATCTCCAGCAGTCCTTACTTTATAAATTAACCCGTGATCTAGCTGCTGCTGCATCCTAGATCTTTAAATGGTTATCTTCTGCCCAGAGGTTTCTTCTGTGGTCTCACCACTCTCTTCAGTCCATGGCTTTTTACTTGAAGACTTTTGCATTCACCACATTATTCTCACTCCAGTTCTGTGTCATAGCAGCAATTCTCTTACTCCCCCATTGTGCATAATTATCTTCCCTTTGGTGCACATTTTGTCTCATACAGAGGGGCTCAAAATAATCAAAGAACTGTGTGACTGGAGTTATTGAAAGCTGTTACTGTCAACGTTAGCTCCATCTACAGTGTCACCAGGCATGTTCCTGCTTTCTCTTTGATCATTTTTCACTGCCATTTCTTACAGAAGCTACTTTAAAAATTTTCACACAACTCAAAATTCCTAATGCTGAGTTATCTCTATTCAATTTTGGGGGAAACAATTTCTATTTATAAGAAATAACAAATTCCACTGGAAATAAAAGATGAGCCAAACTTCTTCCTTCATACCCCAAAGAATCACTTAAATATAATTAGGTTCTTTCCTCCTTCATTTCAATAAATCTAGAGCTATGTATTCCTCCGGCTCCGAAAACTTGGTCTTGTGATCTGTGATGAGATTTCAGTTCCGTTTGTCATCTCTGCACTGTGAACCCTGGTCTATGGGTTCTCTCTGCAGTGCTCTTGAGATTTCTTTAGTACTTCCCCCATTGCTATCCGGGCAGTGCTGAGGTCTCTTAGAGAGTTTCTTTCATCCCTGCTCTCTCCTGAGTTTTCTCTGAGCATTTGTCTTGGTAAGATTACGCCTTCGCTTTCATAATATCCCTGCACACAGTTGAAGAGGAAATGAGTTTGCAGTGGAAAAGTGTTAGGCCCTGAAACTCGTGTGATCTCGGGCAAATTATATTCATAAGTAGTTTGGTTTTCATGTATTAAGGAAAATGTCTATTCTAAAATGTCACAGTGAAAACCTTGCAGCGGCTACCGATGGCCAGCGCCGTGGATGCCCGACTCCTATTAGTGAGCCAAACTCTAGGTCTTTCATTATTACATTATTATATAATATATAGACAGGTTATATTATTTCTTCCATCCACAGTTTTCTCATTTTTAAACGAGCATGCTAATATTATTTACCTCACCTGACTTAATAATGTTATTTTGTTCACGAGCCTAAAATCCCCTCATGAGCAGACCTCTGACTGAGAACACCTTGAGCTCCTCAGAAACTTTAGCACCAAGCCCTTGAAGTTCAGTTTGCTTCTGGACTCAACCACCAGGAGGCAGCATTTGCCTGGATGGAAACGTCTGCTCAGAAAAGTTCTGCGTCACCCTTAGGAGGTTTTTTTCGTCTCCTGCACACCGAATGCACATCCTGAGCAGGACAGACCCTGGAGCACTGGGGACGGCATACGCTGTCACTCTCAGGGCAGCATCTCCTCGCTTTGGTCTCGAGGTCGCGCCTGAACAAGGAGCTCCCGGATCGCAGGTCCTCCCACAGAGACTCCCCTTCCTCCTGCTGAGGGACATCTCTCTCCAGACCAGCACGCTCGGTCCCCCGCGCTGGCCATGCTCTCCGTGACCCTCCTCCTGCTCGGATTGCCTTTCGCCCTGAGTAAGTAACCTGTGCCTTCCCTGTTCCTGCCTCACAAAGGAATGAAGCTGAAGGGAGACCCTGCGTCCTGACAGGTGGGTCTGTC